GTTCTTATGATTTGAGGTTTTACATTTAGGTCTCTGATCCATTTAGAGTTAATTTTTGTGTATGGGGATAGATAGGGGTCCTGTTTCAATCTTCTGCATGTGGTCAGCCAGTTTTCCCGCACCATTTACTGAATAGGTTCTCCTCTCCCCAGTAGTAGGTGGTGGAGGCTTTGTCGAAGATAAGTTGATTGAGAAATTGAGGTTTAGCTTCTGGAATCTCAATTCTATTCCTTTGGTCTATATGCCTGTTCCTGTACCAGTACCAAGCTGTTTTGATTATTGTAGCTTTATAGTAAAGTTTGAAGTCTGGGAATGTGATACCACCTGCTTTGTTTTTTTTGCTGAGGATTGTTCTGGCTATTCTTGGTCGTTTGTGTTTCCATATGAATTCCTGTGTTGTTTTTTCTAGATATGAGAAGAATGTTGCTGGTAATTGGATGGGTATTGCATTAAATCTGTAGATTGCCTTAGGTAAGATGGACATCTTCACAATGTTGATTCTTCCAATCCATGAGCATGGGAAATTTTTCCACTTGTTTGTGTCATCTTTGATTTCTTTGAGCAGTGTTTTGAGGTTTTCATTGTAAGGGTCTTTCAGGTTTCTGGTTAGGAAGATGCCAAGGTATTTCTTTTTTTTTTTTTTTTTGTGGCTATTGTGAATGGGATTGTGGTTTTTATTTGAGTTTCTGTTTGTTTATTATTGATGTAAAGAAATGTGATTGTCTTTTGCACATTTATTTTATATCCTGAGACTTTGCCAAAGTCCTTTATCAGTGTAAAAAGGTTTTTGACAGATTCTCTTGGGTTTTCAAGGTACACAATCATGTCATCTGCAAAGAGAGATAGCTTGACTTCCTCTTTTGCTATTTGAATACCCCTGATTGCCTTCTCTTCTCTGATTACTCTAGTCAGGACTTCCAATACTATATTGAACAGGAGGGGTGAGAGTGGGCATCCTTGTCTTGTTCCCATTTTCAGGGGGAATGGTTCCAGTTTTTGTCCATTTAGGAGTATGCTGGCTGTGGGTTTCTCGTAGATGGCTTTTACTATTTTGAGGTATGTTCCCCGTATGCCTAGATGTTCGAGGGTTTTTATCAAGAAGGGGTGCTAGATTTTATCAAAAGCTTTTTCTGCATCCAATGATATAATCATGTGGTTTTTGTTTTGACATCTGTTGATGTATTTAATTACATTTATGGTTTTACGAATGTTGAACCAGCCTTGCATCCCAGGGATGAAGCCTACTTGGTCATGATGGATGATTTTTGAGATGTGTTGTTGAATCCAATTCGCTAGGATCTTGTTGAGAATTTTAGCATCTATGTTGATCAAAGATATTGGCCTGTAGTTCTCTTTCTTTGTTGGATCTTTACCTGGCTTGGATATCAATGTGATGTTGGCATCGTAAAATGATTTGGGGAGAGTTCCATCTTTCTCAATTGCATGGAATACCTTCAGTAGGATTGGTATAAGCTCCTCCTTAAATGTCTTGTAGAATTCTGCTGGAAAGC